AAAAGTGAAATGCTATTTTGTAGTAGTGCAACTTCCCAAGCAAAGCCATGATGCCAAGCGACATAATTTCTTTGCTTCTAATGTTCCACCTTCAATCCGAACAATTTTTTCCTTCAAATCATTGGTTTTAATTAAAAATAATTTGTTTGAAAATGCTTGAACTGATTAATTACGTGTTTCAGAGGTTTTGAAAAATTCGCTGATTTCGCTGGAAGATTCAACAGGTTAGTCTGCAGTTTACGTAACTATGTTTGTGGGCAACTCTTTATCGCTCAATCTAGCAATCAGTTTTACAGTTCAAATATTGCGGAAGATCAGTTGCCTCATTTACCATCCAAGGAAGCTCGTCTGAGGTACGAGAGAGGGCGGCAGTGGCGCATAGAATATTACAATCTGTTTGTCTTTTAGTTGTTGATAGACAACGTATATTCGTCTTGAATTAATTCTAATTTATTGCTAAAGTATTGGAGTAACGGATTTACTCAATCATGCTTCCACTCAACTGGCCCGAGAAACAAGTGCCAAACTCCTGACTTGAAATCGTTAAGAACTAGATGAAGTTTGTGTGTGTTTCCGCAATGTGATCCTATTTATACTGTACTGTTGCCTCATTACTCAGATTACTGTTGCACTTCGCATTCATCAATCTGATGGCTGAATATGAATCGCCACAGGAGGAACAAGTATATTCATATCATCATGCGTTTGTTCAAGTGAGATTTCGGTTTGTTATTTGATATCTGTTGGCAGTGTTTTATTGCTGAATATAGAGTTCATTTATTGGGTAGAAAGATCTGAGGAATGTAGTGCTCCTCAAGTGCAACAGTTGATCGAAAATCGCTGCTGAATCATCTTTTGCGATCAGAATTTGGATATTCTCAAATACACATCGTTTCAGATAAATAGCGTCCTTCCGTGAACAAATTTCTAAAACCATCGTAATTGTATGATCATGTTACTCGGTACTACCTTTTGTATCAGACATCTTGGGATAAAAGTGATATATGCGAGGCAGTAATTAGTGATGAAACTGCAGTGGAAAGTGACCTGTGTCTTAAAGCGACA